GCCTTTAAGTACACCGGGACCCAGAAGCAATCAGCAAGGTAACTAGGGCCTGTGGAGTAAACGCAAACTGCAATCCGAATGCGTGGTGTTTGCTCCACATTCAGGAAAGCTGCCAGCAGGCGCAAAGGGCAACTGTGTCGTGGCCGTTGAATGGTTTCCTTCTCGCGCGTCACGTACGCATGGGTTCATGTGAGAGTCAGCCTCCGTTGCCCGTTGGACCGCCAATCACTGATACCGTAGCGCTTGCCTCGCTCGGCGACCACCAACAGTCGTGTACTTGTAAGCTGACGTAGTCTCTCTGGCTTATCGCCTTCAAGGCCGACTCACACAAAGACCCCTATCAGTGGCCGCTGTGATGAATGCTGCCAGGCCTCCTTCGGACCAAGCCTCCTTTTCGGATGTATGTGCGGGAAGACAGTCAAATGCCAACCATTTCTTCTCCCGTTCCTTCTGTACAGAATAAATTGTTCCTACCACTCTGAATTCCTATATCTTCTCTTCTTCAAAGGAACCAGGCCCAAAAATCGAAGTTGCTAGAGTTGAGCTTGCTTGACACCCTGCGATACTTACCTCCGCAAGTTCCATGCCTATCACCCAGATTGAGCGTGATGGCACAAGAGCACGAACAGCGTGTACAGGGAGAGAGTGATCTATTTTCATAAAAAGCCTACTGTTTTGCAAAATTCATGGTGGTCCTTTCCAAACGCAATAGAAAAACCTTCGTCCTTTGTAGTGGGACTGCCAGTAAGGGGAGGATATGTGGTCTTTCTACTGTAAGGTGCCGAAATTCACCAATGGCCCTAAACCTCTCGCAAACCAGCATCACCGATGCATGAAAACTTGGGAATAATCACAAACACCCTAGAAAAATCTAAAACTTATAGGAAATGTGAAAATACTACTTGGTTGTTAAAACGCAATTTTTTGAAACAGCGGTAAATTCCGAAAACAGAAAATATCGCTGTAACTGTGGTAAATACGCTTACAGGTGAAATCATAAGCATATCAATGTTTGTCTATAAAACATCTTTCCTTTTAGTAAATTTGTTTATATATATTTCTGGTATTGGATTAGGGTTAGTTTTGGGTCGTCCTTTAAAATCCAGGGTATACTTCACGATTTTTCGTCTTTAAACATTATTTTCCATCATTTTAGATTTTATTCGATGTGTTCATCGAAGTCTCAAAATAAAATACTGCTTAAAAGCATAAACGGAAATGGAAATGGCCATTTCAGGCCCATTTGTAGACGCACCCAAACACGAAGAATCATTGCCGAGAAAAAAGGAAAGTCTATAACAACTGTCCGCCATTAATATTCTTAAGAGCAATTAAGAGGCCTTCCATAAAAAGTGCCATTTTAAAAAACACTTAACTTAGATCTTCAGCTGAAGAATGTCTGTGTAAGTTACCGTTTTTCAAAAAAATGTCTAAGAAAATATGGGAATTTTTAAAAATAAGGACCCGGACTTCGATGCTTCAGAAACGTGGATCAAATAAATCAGAATAGGTGAGTTCGCCATTTAAATTTTTTAAAACCCAGAGGGGAGGAAGTTTCCGTGACCGCCTAACGGGACCACCACCAGGTCTCACCCTTATAAGATCATCCTTGCCATCAACTGGCTGGAAGATACTAGACAGTTTCGGAAAAAAATTCCACAAGGTAAGGGGAACGCCGCTGCGTTTGCCACATGAAGCCAGATTTGGTTCGGAACTTTTTCTGTTTCTCAATGCAATAAATTTGATTTTCTGCGCCCCATGTTTAATTGCGGTTGGTCACGAATACTTGTAGATGGTCTGAGGCACTTAACCTGAACCAGAAAACTTCTGCATCTTAGTGATGTCTGTCCCATGAGGCTTGGCTTTGGGAAGACCGTTTGCTAGAGATGTCCTTAAATCGAGTTAAGAAGAAAATATGATTGAATCCAAATTTGGGTCCCAGAAATTGTTTAAGAAGAGCACGCCATAAAAAACACAGAAATTTACTTACTTACTTTCTTACTTAGAAATTATTGAGTGTGACAAATTTGGGAATTTTTTACTTACTTGTACTTTAAAGCTTATAAAGTTTCTTGATATGCCTGAAAACTGCTTCTATTTCAGCTTACCGTTTTGGAGTACGCGGGCGAAGTACCGCGCACACCTTCCATTTACTTGAACAACAACTCTACATTAGTTTATTTTGTTGGGCTTGTTTAACTAACAGTATGGCGAGTGCTGCAAGAAACTTTTCTAAGTTTGTTAAAGGTTGATTGTTCCTCGCATACCAGTGAGAAAGCATTTACGAGAACTTAGAAATAATAATGAGCAGTATTAGGCATACTAAATACTTAAAAGCACTATAAGAAGTACTAAGTGTTTGTAAAGAAACATAAAACATTTCCGATAAACCCCAACATCCGGAGATGTAAAAAAATAGCTGAAAAATTAGAACAATAAATTTAAAAAAACTATTAGATTGAAAACGGAATGGAAACAATTATTTTACATAAAATAACCTTTCCTTAGTCAAAATAATTCCTACATATTACCATTAGTGGACAATTATTCATTGAATAACTTCGAATAAAATCTGTCATTATTTAGTTCGCTTTCAGTATCTTCATTGACAAATTGATAAATTGCGCTTCTATACGACGTCTACACTAAAACCTTTAAAATAAGATATACAGTAGCCGCCGAAGTCCATGCAACGCTAATTATGAAATTTGCTTGGACATTTTGGCATAC